CCATGATTGTTCTCTCCGAGGAGTGTATCTACCTCAGGTAAATGTTCAACTGATGTGCCTGTCTTTTGCAGAAACTGAGTCTTTGATGAAGAAAATATGAACCTGTTTTGACTTGGAGGCAGATGTTTGGACTTTGTATTTAATTGAATATCTGGAGATGGAGAAAGGAGGAGGGGAGTTTGCTTTCTGGCTTAGTTATGTTTTCTTCTGTTACACCTGATATAGCTGTTACAAAATACTGATACAGCTGTTATAAAAGATTGGGAATAATGAGGAGAGAAAGGGTGATTCTTTTGCCTTAGTGTGGTTTGTGAGAATTCATGTTCTTCATTAGTTTGTATAGTTCCACTTGTATGTATGTATAAAATAGTTTGCAAAGCCAGGTGGAAGAAGATTATTGGAAAATTATTGCTGCTGATGCCATCACTATTACTGACATGAAATTTTAAGGGGCTTTACTAACATGATCTATTTGTCTTCCTTGTTGATAATTTGATTTGTAGGCTTGATGAAAATGAAATGGGGGGAAAAAGTAGGATCAGATTTAGAATAGCAAGGAACTCTCTTTTGAGACATAAATATTTGAAGGCAGACACTTGTGTGTTGCCACATTTTACAAGAGGGGGATGGAAAAGTTGATTTAAATGTTAACAGAAAGACAGGCAGAAAGCTTGGGATATTGGCATCATTTTCCCTCATAAGAGAATAACTGGTTGACAGGATGAAGTTGAGTAGAGGTTAAGTAAGATACTGTAGCATGAGCAGTTCTTGAATTTGAACAAGCTGTTGCAGACATGATTCTTTATATCAAATTTCCTAGATTTAAAGGACTTCACAGCAAAATTTTGCATTCATTTGTTGATTTGTCAGCTTGTTTGGTTGTTCTGTCAATATGGTCTTCGTATCTATGGACAGTGTGTTTGTTCTGAGTGTCTTTTTTACTTTTTTCCTTGAGTGGCTTGTTTTCATAGGGAAGTTCATATATTCTCTATGGGTCATATGTAATTGTTCAAATAATTTTATTATTAAAAATTGTGGGTAGAAAAGAGTTACAGTTGACTTTATAAATCCTGCTAAATCTTCATGTTATTTATATTTTTTGGAATCCACTTAGAAACCACAGCAATTCTTTAGACCTTCTACTTAACTCTTTCTTGAGTAACCATAGTAAGGGTACAGGGTACTCAGTGAAGTACCAATGATGATGAGTTAGAAGTAAAGAAAAATAATAGGAATAATCATTAAGATTTTAAAACTGTGTGCTCACTTTGGCAGCACATGTACTAAAATTGGAATGATACAGAGATTAACAAGGCCTCTACGGGAGGATGACATACAGATTTGTGAGCATTCCGTATTTTTGCAGTGAAAGTCACCAGTCAGAATATGCATTGATGGTTGAGTGGAAAATCAGTTTGCTCTGTAAATTTTCACTGAAATCACAATTAAAAAAAGAAGAAGAAAACCCATCCCAACAACAACAAAAGAGATTTTAAAGCAGAATTTTTATAGTGGCAAGATTAATGAAAGTGGTTGGTTACATTACAGATTGACTGTTTTCCTTATGTTTCTCTTGATTATTGTTGCCCTGGTAGATCTTTTTTCATTCTCTGTTGTGTTCCGTTTCTAGCTAGATTTCTTTTAAGGAATTTGGTCATTTTCAATATTTTTGCGATAGAATAATACAAATTTTTGTTAAAAATTTTCTTTTTCTTTTTCACTTTTAAGTAAAGTATTATAATAAATTCCTGCTCTTAGAACATTTGGAAAATAAAGAAAAATACAAGAAAAGGAATGAAAATGATACTAAATCCTATAATCCTAAAAATAACTGTCTCTAAATATTTTGTATTTCCTTCCATTCTTTTTCTGATGTTTTGTCAACTAGAATTACAGACTAGATAACTATTAAAAATGACTGATTTATCACTACAGCTGGCTATTTGCTAAATCATAAGAATCTATGGAATTTGTAGGTCTTAAAACAGTTTATTATGTTCTTAAGCTAACTTTATTTGTAAAATAAGATGTTGTAGTGTATTTGTCCTAGCCATTGATAGGTCTTAGTCTTACCAGAGCCCATTAATTTACAAAGAAATTTATAGGAGACTTCAGGTATAGAACCAGAGGTAACCACAATCCCATGTAATTAAAGATTCAGCTATAGCTCTGCTATTGGCCAAGCAGCAGAAATGTTTCTGCGTTTGTAACAGAGCCTTGGTCTAATGAAGGACACAGGCATTTTAATACAGTGAGTGTGCTCTATGAGAAGACAAAGTCTGTGGCAGAATTTCTCAGCCTTGGCATTGTTGACATTTTGGGTCAGATAGTTTTATTGTGTTGGTAGGCTGTGGTGTGCTTTGTAAGATAAGTAGCAGCGCAGCATCTGTGGCCTCTACCCATAAGGTACCACCATCTTCTAGGCTCCAGTTTAGAACTATTGGTCTGGGTTAACACAGAAGGATTTTAAGAAAAATAAAAAACCTTACAGGATTTAGGGATTGCAGAGTATTTAGTAATTGAGCTCAGTCTATAGGTATGCAAGTTTCAGAGAAGGTATTTTGTATAAAGACTTAGAAGTTTAAAACTGCATGTTGGAGAATGAATGTAAACAGCTAAGGTTACGAATTGTGAGAGAAGGGATGGAGTAGCAGGAGTTTTAGAATAAACTTATATAATGTCCAGGTAGTTGAACTTTATTTTTGTGGTGATGGGACATTAAGAGAATTTTTAGCAGGGAAAAAACTGATTATTATATGTGTGTGTGTATCTATTTAACTACACACACACACACACACACACACGCACAAGTCTGGAATGAGTATAACCAGAAACTTGAGGTTTGTATTTTTTTTTTTT